TTCTTTCAAACCACCACAGGTGCCTTCTTGGTCAGATCAGAGACTTTCTTAATCAGCACATTGTCTTCTTTTGCTCATTTCACACATCTTAGTCTCACAGTTTGACCATGCTTTCATCATAGCCATCAGTTAGAACTCCTGCCTCGGTTCTCCCACAAGAAAACCTCTGTGCTGCTGTGCTTATATGTAGTACACATGTCCTTGTTTATGGCTGTTTTCATTGTGCCTCACAGTGAAGTGGCACCGGCGAGACACCTGAATTAGTAGAGTTGCTTGCCACAAGTCTAATGACCTGTGTTTGGTGCCTGAGACCCACACTGTGGAAGGAGAGAGCCTATTTCTAAAGGTTGTCCTCTGACCGCCTCATGCAAACTCACATGTGCCTTCTCCCAAAAATAAATAAGTAAAATATAATAAAGCATTAGAACTCACTAGTCACTGAAGAATTCTTCACTTAAGCTCTTACCATTCAAATAATCTTGGGTTAATTTTGAAAAACAATTTCAAATGTGGTGATTAGATAGTCATGGGCAATACTGAGAAATGTTTAGGATGAAATATCTAAGCTAAACAGAGTCAGGAACAACAACAATAACAAAAGGAGCAGGAAAAGATACAACCCCATATACACTACAGTTAAAAACAAACACCCTCCTTGGAGTGGTGTTTCAGTGTGGGGACTGAAGCCTCAGAGTCTGTCTCTCCCTAGGAAGCTGCAGCCTTCTACCAGCAGGGTTCCTTGGCTGTTTGCAGACCAGCTATGCTCAGTTGTCAGTGGGTACACAGGTCAATGGGGGATTCAACTGACTCAGGCCCACTCCCTGCTGATGGTGCTGGCCCCCAGTGCATCACAGTGAGCCCAGAAGGCCTTTCTCTACCTTGCACAACATTCACTGTTGCCAGCATCTTCCCCTTTCTCCTCCCGTCAGCCTCCAGCTCCAGACAATTCTCCTTAATTAGATTTGTCAGGCATTTATTCTCTAGGAGGACGGTCTCTTGGGAAAAGTTAGGGGTACATGGGGTCTCTGTGCATGTGTTTTTCCATAATGACAAAAGCTCTGATTGTAAATCAGCTAATTCAGAAATGGCTGTCAGATTAACTAATTGCCATGACTTGAACTGCCAGAGGGTCTTGAGAAGCTGGACTTCCCTGGGGTGGGCAGCAGAGAGTAGCTTTGTCCTAGAAAGGATGACATACAGGTCATCCTGTAGGTATCCTGGGGTAAGCCTGGACTTTGGAATTCCGTTTCATCCTGTAAAAGGCTGCCCTCTGAGAGATGAAGTACAGGCATGTATCACTGATGGGAGATGTCCTGCCTGTATGCTGCAAATATATGTTTATCTTATTGGTTTAATAAAATGCTGACCAGCCAGTAACCAGGCAGGAAGTATAGGTGGGGCTACCAGACAAGGAGAATGCTGGGAAGAGAAAGGCAGAGAGAGAGAGCTTCCATGGAGATAGATGCCCTGTAGCTACTGGAAAGATAGGGTGCCGGGTATTCTCCTGTAAGCTGAAACCACATGAAGATACACAGATTAGTATAAATGGGTTAATAATTAAGAGAGAGCTAGCCAATAGGAAGCCTGAGCCATCGGCCAAACAGTTTATAATTAATATAAACCTATGTGTATTTACTTGGGACTAAATGGCTGTGCAACCAGGAGGGATAGAAACTCCATCTCCATATCACCATGCTGTTGATGGTTCAGCCTTGATTCACGTTACACTGATACTAAAGACCATTAACCCCTGAGCAAAACCCTAAAAGATGCTTTACAAGTACAGTATCCTGAGCCACAGCTACCTTATTAGGTAGATACAGTAGGTGAGTATTGAATGTGCAGAACTGTCATTTGCTTTATCTGTGAATGAGACAGTCTGGAAAGTTCTGACTACAAAGGCTGATTAGCTGACTAGTTGGTGACATGGACAGTTTGCAATATTGCAAGTCCAAAGCCAAATTACCTTGAGCCATTTTTAGCCCACTTAGGAGTCATTTACTGCTTTCCTGTATATATGACCTAGTATCTTTGTGGCCATTAGTTAAGTCATTTGGAATGTGCATACAAAGCAATGGCTTCTAGCAGTAAAAAGGCTTAGAATGCCATCACATAGTGTCTGAACCCTATGACTGAGCTATTCTGTGACTGCCCACCTGATGTTTCCACCAACATATTTGAAGAATGTCTTGATTTATGATTTCCTTTGTTCTTTTATTTAAAAGCTTCATGAGAGATGGAGAGATGGCTCAAAGGTTAAGAGCACTGATGGTTCTTGCAGAGATCCTGAGCTTTTGCAGAGGTCCTGAGTTCAATTCCCAGCAACCACATGGTGGCTCACAACCATCTATAATAAGATTTGGTGCCCTCTTCTGGCCTGCAGGAACACTTGCAGGCAAAACACTATAGACATAATGAATGAATGAATGAAATCTTTAAGAAAGGAAAGTAGAACAAAAAAATAAAAGCTCCATGAAACTGTTTCCATGTTGAAAATGGAATTTAGAGTCACCTGAATCTGTGTTCCTGGGGCATGGTCACATGGTCTCATATGTGACTCCAGAATAAAGCTCTTTTCTTCCCTATGAAGTGAAAGCTGTATTTTTGAACCAACAAGTTGAATATATTTATTTTGTGCTTCATCATCATAAAATTGACACTCTAAATTTTTACTAAGTAAATATGTAATGAAAGATTTATCTTAATAGCTCCAGGGACCATTGACTTTTTGAGGCTCTTGGCTGTTTGTCATGGGAAACCACTTGTTAAAGTGTTTGCTGCAGGAAACTTTCCAAACTGTGTCAGCAGATTGATTTACTCTGTGACCTTGGGTGCCACACACCTCCCGGGTCTACTTCTGATTAATTTATATGTTTTAAATAGCTCTGCAGAGGGCCTCAGAAATCAGAACATAGCTAAAAGCCATCAACGGCATATAAAGGTTGCTATTGAAATAATAGGAAAATGTTACTAACAGTTAACTTTAAAATACAAAGCAGCATCTAGTTGGGTTTTTGTTGTTTCTTTTTCTTTCTTTCTTCTTCTTTTTTTTTTTTTTTTTTTTTTTTTTTTTTTGTGACGGGGGTAACTCTCTCAGAATGGTTTCTTCTAGTTCCATCCATTTGCCTGCAAATTTCAAGATTCCACTGTTTCTGCCTGCCTCTGCCTCCCGAGTGCTGGGATTAAAGGCGTGTGCCAAGAACGCCGGGGCCCCCCCGCGCTCTTTTTTTTTTTTTTTTTTTTTTTTTTTTTTTTTTTTAATGAAGTGTATTCGGCTCCTCAGGAAGAGTCTCTCCCCTTGACTCTTGTCTCCAGTCTGATTTGTGGTTACCTATTGCCACCAACAAATTACCCTGAAACTTGGCCGTGTGAAGCACAGGGGTCTGGGTACATCATTGCTGGGTTCTCCTGCCGCAGACTCTCTCCTAAGGCTCTAGTTAAGGCTGAAAGCTCAGTAATGGACTTCTCTCTTCCTGGTTCACACACATGGGCATTGGCAAGGTTCACTTCTTTCTGGGATGTTGGCCAGGCTCTTCCTTCTGTTCCTTGCCATGTTGGCCACTCCATCGGGCAGGTTACTATATGACAGCTTTTGTTTTGTTTTCTTCTGAGACAAAATCTCTCTGTGTAGCCCCTGGCTGACCTGGAATGTGTCTCTGCCTTCTGAGCACTGGGATTAAAGGCATGCACCACTGTACCAGCTTGATGTGACAGCTTTTGACTATGGAGCAAGAGAAGGAGAGATGAAGATCATAGTCTTCTTCCAGCCTGTATCTCAAGGGACATATTGTTAACTACATTCTGTTTATTGGAAGCAGGTGCAGTCCATACTCAAGGTTACAAAGGATGTGAATGTTATCAGGCAATACCTTTGGGGACCACCTTGGTCTTTCTATCACACACAGTAAGGGCTGAATGCATGAGTTGAATCCTTCAGTAGAGCTTGCTCTCTGCCCTGTACAGTGAGGTTCGCACCAGAGTCCCAGCCACTCCTTGCTTTCAGTGAGCTCAAGTTGGTTGTGGTTGTATTTAACAGCCATTGATACAGATCAAGGACTAAATGGGTTAGCATGCAGGTATCCTTTGTTCTGAAGGTTTGGTGACTTTATAATAAGTTATATTCTTGAAATTTGTCAACAATACATACTAATTTTTCTCACCACCCCCACATAAAGGTTGAGGTGATAGATAAGTTAATTTGTTTGATTGTGGTAATTATTTCACCATTTGTATGTATAACAACTGTGTGTGTGCTTGTGTGTGTGTGCACGTGTGGTTTTTTTGTTTGTTTGTTTGTTTGTTTGTTTTGTCAGTTCTACCTTATTTAAACTGGAAAAAATAAAATTCCCATGTCCACTCTCACAGTATGCTGATACCCAATTCACACTGCCTTTGAATTTTTAGCATTGATATTTTTCTTTCCTTTTTTTGCCTTTCACATTGATGTACTCATTTCAAGATTTCAAGACATTATTCCTGGCACCACATCTCCCACCAGATAGCCAGAGCTTTGAACGCCAAGTTTTATAATTAAAATTCTGTTGCATTTCCCCAAAACAGCACAAATGGTGCCATTAAGCCTGGAAGAAAAGATTCGTAAGCACTTTACCTAGTAATTTAAATATAACACTCTGGCAGCATCGGTTTAGGGTATTTTCAATTCCAATTAGAACACTATTACTGAACATTAATATCTCTGCACTGTGTTCCATTGTGGTCTCTGGTTCATATTGGATGTCTAGCTTTTAAACAAACAGCTTGGGTACATGGCCATAGCAACCCACGTGGCTTCCTGTGGCCCTTGGGAATCACCAGGTCTCCAGCATAATTGGTGTAAGTCAAAATTCTCTAGACAGTGACAGGAAAATGGTATGTTTGGACATCACCTTATCAAAATGACCTACTTAATTTAAGAAAAATGTTGTTTCCACTTGCTTGGTAGCCTGGATGCCTTCACTGAAAGATTTTCTATTACCCCTCTCCCACTTTTTTTTCCTTAGAAAAGGAAAAGGAATGGAAAGGCCCATTCTACTTTATCCAAGGCGCAGACCCCCAATTTGGGCTGATGAAGGCCTGGTCCACTGGGGATTGTGACAATGGCGGTGATGAGTGGGAGCAGGAGATCCGTCTCACTGAGAAAGCTGTTGAGGCCATCAACAAGCTGAGCCCCAAACCCAAATTCTTTGTTCTTTGTGGCGACCTCATCCATGCCATGCCAGGTAAGCCTTGGGTTGTCATGGGGGACCTTTTCTTCTTTAGATAATCCTGACCAGATATAGGCAGGAAAAGTAGATATTTCCTCTGAAGATATCTCTGCTTGCTATTGTTCTTACTCTTCAAGGTGGTTGTGGTATCACTGTATATCAGGAAATGCATGCTCACTTTATATTTAGAACTTGGTGGGATTAATCACAGTAATTAGGCCCAGTGACAATTCTGTTGATCCAAGCTTGGTAGGAAAACACACCCCCTATGTCACCTTGCTACATTTCTAAGGACAGACATTACAATGTCTAAACACCACTTCTGTAATTTGTAACTCTAATCTGTAACAGTAATATGGTCCCTTCTTGAGTTGTCTCTCTTTTTAAATTCTTATTTTATGTGTATGGGTGTTTTGCCTTCATGTATGTATGTGCATCATGTGTGAGGTACCTTCCCCAAACCAGAAGAGGCATCAGAGCCTCTCAAACTGGAGTGCCAGACTTTTGTGAGCTACCATGTGGGTGCTAGGAATTGAACCTAGATCCTTTGCAAGAGCAGCAAGTACTCTTAACCACAGAGCCATCTGTCTAACCCTACTCTCTTTGCACACTTTTATTTTTCCCATGTGTGTTGTTTGCTTTCATGTAGCTGGATCTAAGGGCTTAGAAGTTGTCATCTGAATTTGATTTCTCCATCTCTTCGCTATGCTGTCCTCTCAGTCGACTTCATTTGCAGCCAGGCTCTCTAATAGTGGCTATAAACCTAGGGAGTTATAGGTTTACAGAACTCCCAACAGAAACAAAGTGATCTATTTTGGATGGTCCAGTCAGAGTCACAGGCCATGTTTACCTGACTCACACGGGCTCAAAGCTAAATTGTGAGGTTAGCCTTGTGATCTGAAGAGTGGAGTGGTTTCCCTGAAGAAAAGTCCGATGCTGGTCCTTGAGCATCCCTGCTCATGTGGCCTTCTGTTTTTCCATGAGTTCTGATCCTTTCGACTGCTTTGCTCACAGGACGAGAAGGGGAGGGCAGGAGGAAAGAGGGAAGAAGCAAGTGAGGATGGGTCAGGAGGAAGAAGTGCTTGGATGTTTCTGCAACTCTCTTCCTTTTCTGGGACACCCTCACTCAATATCCTTCTGTCTCAGACAGGGCCTCAGCCCAGTGATCAAATATAAGAAGTGAAAGTGGCCCTTCCCATCAGAGAGGCAGAGTTAGCTTCCATGGCCTCTTCCCCTTCCCTGCCCCTGTCTCTGCACTGGAAGAGAAGTGACTTGAAGACCAGGATAGGAATCATGAGCGTGCCTGAGAGATCTGCATTCATCTAACGTTAATTCACTCTAACCGCTCCACAAGCTGATGCGCTTTGCAAAAAGCTAGACACACTTTGGTGATCAGAACCCCCGCTCCTACTGTCCAGCCACCAGTGTGTCCAAAGCTAAGGCCAGAGTGAAGATGCAATAGAAAGGGGGCAGTTGGGACTGTTTTCCTTAACATTCACGGAGAACAACAAGCAGGGAAAATTCTCAGGAGTGTCCTTGTCTCTGTTCACTTGTGTCTTACACAAAGTCATGCATGTGGCCATGTCGACATTGATGACTCCTCCAGGCAGAACCCATGGATAGCAGCTGTAGAAACTTCTGGATTGGGCCTGTAAAAACATTATAGGAAAAGGGAACAGAAGCCAGTCACCTCAGTTAGAACCCAGGAGCCTGGGCCACCAGCTCCCTGCCCACTTGTGATGGAGTAGGTGGGATACCTTGGTCTCTCTGTTTTTGAGTCAAGAACCCACAGAAAACAGCAAGAACCTGGGCCTGGGGCTACATAGTAGAAAGGAAACAGAGCTGAGCGAGGAGAGACCCAGACCCGGTAACAACTTTGGAGTCCCTGGATCCAGACACATGGCATGGAGACAGCAGCACCCTACCTGTACAACAGAGGTGACTACCTGGGCAGCTCTACACAGAAATACATTTGTGAAAATAGTCCTTTGTTTTGTAGTGAAGTTGAATACTAGCCACTCATAAACTTAACCCTTTTTGATAACTTATCCAAAGGACACTGCCATTAAGATACTACAATGTGGAAGTAGCTATAGGCTTAGATTCTGACACACTAAGGCAAACTAAGGTGATGGGTTCACTGACCCAGAACATTATTGCTGTTTCTAAATGGTCTATGTTGCAGTTAGCTAGTGTCCTGGGAGTAATAGGGCCCCATGAGCCATCAGCTTGGTACTGTTGCTCGGGACCACATGTGGGCAAAGGTCTGCTTCTATTGACCCTTGAACATAGATACAACATTAGCATTTTTCTGTTCAGTAGCTTCAGGATATCATGAGGCTCTTTAGAATTATATAACATGTTCTCGTGGATGTTTACCAACTTGTTCTGAATTATGTTAATATATTCAGTCACATTTCAAAATCAAATGTAAAATAAAAGCCTTTCTTGCAATTACATTGCTTCTTAAGTAGAATATACTGAACACAAATAAATGAAAAGATACATTTTTATGATTAGCCCTGACTGTTGGTCAGAAGATCTTAAAATATGAGCCTGCAAATTTCTGAACATACACATATTATCCAAGGTGACTGGATCAGAACTCATAATCTCCTCTGAAGATTTGGGCTGTTTGAGGGATTTTAGCTGAGCCAGATAGAGGACTTTAACTGTTTTGAATATTTTGTCTGAGATTAAACAGAATGTTTTAAAGCTAGTTACAATTTTTTAATATGCAGTAAGTTGCTTCGCTCATTTAGCACACACACCATGGCTGACTAGAAAAGTAATTATTTGCTTTGACTGCTTAGCACATTGTTAATGACCAAATGCATATATTAATAAGCAAATAAAATCAGAAAGCATGCTTTTAATTCTAACGTAAATAGTATCTTGGGTCAAGTGGATATTAACTCAAAATGAAGCAGAAGAACTTTCCAAATAATGAAATTTTTAGTGAAAATAATAATATCCTTTTTCATTATAACTATCCATTGTAACATTCATTCATCCATAGATATTCGCTGAGTGCAGAGTAAGTGCCAATTACAGCACTGATCTCTGTGGTTATAATAGTGGAAATGAGAGACCAAGGCCTTTTGCAGAGCTGAGAGTTGACAGGAGATAGATGCATAGGTGGTGGGAGGAGTCATTGTGCCAAGCCTCCACCTTGGTTTTGGACAAGTATGTCTTCATTTTACAGGTGCCTTTGTGTTTTTTTATTTTCTAATATAGCTTCTCTGTGAGATTAGCCACATTAAAAGTGGCAAATTAAGATCTTGTACATGTTACTGAGACTATTGATTTCTAGTCCTTTAGCTCTCAAGCCCAGGGTGACTTTTGTAGGCTCTGCTGACATTGAGTCATCGACCCACTGAAAGTGTCCCCAGGAGCCTTGTTAGACTCCAGCAGTTCCATGTGGATGACCAATCGGAATGCAATGGAATAATTTCGGAATGAGATTCCAGTGAGCCTCTTGAGTGTTACTGGCACATATGTTTATCCCTGTGTATTTGGACTGCTGTAACTCCATGAAATGGACAACACAGATCCATTCTTCCCTTATATAAAATGTCCTGGAAGAGTTCTTGTATGTTACCTCTGCCTGAGCAACTGTGACATGCTTGAGTTTCTAGTAAGTGTTAGCCCCAGGAGCCTCTGTTCTACAAAGGGCAAGCCTGCGAGCAAGGCTGTGCTCACATCGTTCATCTTCTGCTGAAACAGTGCACACTCACTCAGACAGATCTGGAGGTACAAAGTACAATATGAGTCTTCTGGGCTATGCTCCTCAGAAGCTGCATGCATTTCTTGGCTTGTTGTGCATCTTCAAAGCCTGCAGTCCTGTGGCTTTTCTCTGGCCTCTGCTCCAGCCTCTGGGATTCTCCTTCCCCATCAAACTGGCCTTCCTCCCTCCACCCCTCCCTTCCTCTCTCCCTCCCTCCCTCTGGTACAGATCTGTGTGATTACACTGGGCCTGCCCGATGACCTAGAGTAATCTCTCCATCTGCAGAGTCTCCTTTGCCATGGAAGATAAGGTACCTAACAAAGTACTGGGAGTTACCATGTGTACATCTCAGAGCGGGCTTTATTCAGGCCACCACAATGACTTGTGATGAGGGAAATTCAGGGTCTCTAATGGCTAGTGTCAGCACTGAGGTTCTGTGCAGCCAGCTCAGGAGACATAACAGCAACACAAAAAAGATGGAATAGTTACACAGTTTCTATTTTTTTGCTAGCAGGGTAACTGGCCCTGAGCAAGGAAGTACCTTCTCCCAAGGCCTGGTAGTCTACATGTGGTGGACTCTCTACCTTTCTAGACCTCCTGCACGTCCCACTGTAAGTGTTACTGTTAAAGAATGTGGTTTTGAAAATGACCAGGGCCTTCTGGAAATGGAGCATCACTGCCCCAAGCAGATCTGGCATGTCTTTATGAAATCACCAGATGCATCTTACAGATAGTAAGGCTTGACATGCATAGGCTTACCAGACTAGGGTGCATAGGCCCAGTGTGTTCTGCTTTTCATGCATTTTGTATAATACTGTGTGCCTGCCAGGAACCAGGAGAATTCCCTTCAAGTGTTATCAATGATGGCATTTAAGCAAGACAACCATCACTCCTTTATGTGTCTGCTCCATTGCAGAGGACATGCTTTAAGTGTGTAAATTTTTACATCTTAAATACTCCGAGTAACTAGAGCAGGATGCTGTCTCCTATGAAAAAATGCCCACAGCAGCATGTTAGCAAAGTGCCTTGGAAAACAGGCACACCCATTTTCTTTAACTGGATTTGTACCTAGACAGTCAGGACTGTTTTTTTTTTGTTTGTTTGTTTGTTTGGATGACACACATGCACAAAACTTTATCTATCATTCCAACACTCAAGAGGCTCTAAAAATTAAGGCTGTTTTCCTTAGATTTGAATTTATTTGACTGGTAGCAAAACTCCCCTACATTGGCAGTTCCTAGTCTTTAATGGGATACTTGCACATTTGTTAGTAGAAAATTCCTGGGCT